TGTTTATGTATAGAGGGATTACCTCTGCTTTCCATTAAATAAGAGTTGGGATCATCTCATCCTCATCTTCTACCAGGAATGTGCTATTCCAGGCCCTCGCCAGAACTGATTTGAAAGTGTCTCAGCTTTAGAATCAAAAGCGGTCTTGGAAAAGCCTTTTCCAAAATGGAGCTGGATTAATTGAGTTTATTTTTCTCTAGCATGTCTATTTATTTGACTGTTTCAAGCCATTTGTCAATTTCTAAGCCATTAATAATTTTTATGCTCACTCTAGTTGTATAGTTCAAGTGTGTTTGATTTCATGTGGTCTCGCCACCTTTAAACAGTGCTGAGTGATGGTATGTTTAACATGCCAATCCAACTTTTCAAATCCAAACTGAAGTCATTAATGCTTTAGCACTGTTCCATTGACTGCTTTTCATGGTTTATACCTGGTTTTGTTTCGCAGCAGTTCCTGTTTCTGTCTGGGTTTCAGTGATAGAACCTTTCCACTCTGCCTGTAGAATCATTTATTAATTTGTTGTTGGTGGTGGTGCTGTTGCTGCTACTAGGTGCCCCTGAGTAGGTTGTAACTCACAGGGACCCTATTTACAATAGAAAACACCACTGCCACGCCCTCCACCATCGTCACAGTTATTCATATGTTTAATCCTATTGTTGCAACCACTCACCCGTGACCTTCCTGATTTTCACTGACCCTCTGCATTAACAAACATGATATCCTTCTCCGGTGTGTTAGTGGGTTGACTAGAGAAACAAATCCAGATACACTCGTGTGAGTAAGAAAGCACTTTATATAAAGAGTAATTGTATATTAAGGAAACATCCCAGCCCAGTCCAGATCAAGTCCATAAGTCCGAGATTAGCCCATATGTCTGATACCAGTCTATAAATTCTTCTTCAGACTCACACAGCACGTGGAACAATGCTGAATGTAGGAAGATCACAGGCCAGTGGGTGGAAAGTCTTGTGGCTCCAGTGGCAGTGGAAGCAACTCATCTCAACGCTGGCAGGGGTCTCCATGTGGCTTCTCCAGCCCCATGGCTCTGGTTCCATCAGGGTAGCTCCATATGTCTTGTCAACAGGAATGTCTTGCAGAGAGTGTGTGTCCCACCTCCAGGGAGGAAGATATGAGTTCCCAGAATCCTCAGGAGAAGGCCATGTCCACACAGAGGTTTCATTGGCTGTGACCTGATTGACAGACTAGACTGTACCCTTTACAAGTTAATAGAATGTGTAACTACCACATCTAGGGCCTGGTCTCTCCTCATAACATGTCCAAAGTGCATGAGACAAAAATCTCACTATCCTTACCGCTAAGGAATATTCTGGCTGCGCTTCTTCTAAGAGAGATCTGTTTGTGCTTTGGGCAGTCCATGATACGTCTGATATTCTTCACCAATACCATAATTCAAATTCATATGTTTTTCTTCAGTCTTCCATATTCATTGTCCAACTTTCACACGCATATGAGGTGATTGTGAAGACCAGGACTTGCTGCAGGCACACTGTCCTCTTCCAAGTAACATCCTTGCTTCTCAACACTTTACAGGGGTCTGTGCAACAGATTTATCCAGTGCAATTGTATCGTTTGATCTCTGGACAACTGATCTCATGAAATTCATGACCAATTCAATTCCACATGAACACAATCAAGGTGTTCGGGAATTCCTATTCTTCTCAAAGCTGTGCATAGTTTGTTATGATCATCACAGTCAAATTCTTTGGCATAGTCAATAAAACACAGGTACACATCTTTGTGGTATTCTTTGCTTTCAGCCAAGATCCATCTGACATCAATAGTGATATTGCTTATTTCACATCCTTTTCTGAATGAGCCTAAAACTGAAAGCTCTCTGTCAATGTATTGCTGCAACCATTGTTGGATGGTCTTCAGCAAAATTTTACTTGTATGTGATATTAATGATATTGTTCTATAGTTTGAATATTCTGTTGGGACACATTTCTTTGGAATGGGTACAAATGTGGATCTCTTTCAGTCAGTTGGCCAAGTAGCTGCCTTTCAAATTTCTTGGCTTAGACAAGTGAGTGTTTTCAGTGTTTCACCAGTTTGTTGAAAACATTCCAAGTGGTTTCCACCAATTCCCAGAGAGTCTTATTTTTTGCTTATCTTTTGAATACAACTTGGACTTCTTCCTTCAGTACCACTGGTTCTTGCTCTTATGCTACCACTTGAAATGGTTGAATGTTGACTAGTTCTTATGTTATGCCACCTTTTATGGAATGCCTTCTAACCTCAAGCTGCTTACGTTCTGTTGAGGAGGTTGCTAGTTGTTAATGCTGTTAAGGTGACCCCTGACTCACTGCAACCCCATTCACAAACTAGCAGACCATGTGATTCATAGTTTTCATTACTATTTGGGGAGTAGATTGTCAAGCTTTCCTCCTTGTCCAAATCAGTTTGGAAGTACTGCTAAATTTGTTCAGCATCACAGCAACACACAAGCCAGCAGCTGCTGCACTTGAAGTACAGTGGGTCTCTCGCCTACTAGATAGATGGGCAACTGCATGTAGGGATTTGTATTATTAGGTTCCAGGAAGGGGAGACTTCTTCCATGGAATCAATATATGCAATTATTAATTCAAAGAAAAAGGAGATGATGGCCATAAGAGAAAGATTGACACTTCACAGGGTGGTGGTAGCGTTTTTAAAGAATAAAGACCTGTCCCGTCCCCCGTCCCCCCAAGAGAATGTTATGAAAATGACATACACAGAGCTTGGCTTCTGCCCGGGGATTTGAGTTTGGACTAGAAGTGATAAAGAAACAGAGCCTTCTGTGAGCAGAGGAAGAACACAAACCAAAGGGTTCATTCAGACACAAGTCACCCCTGTGGCCAGAAAGGAACTGACACTAAACTCCAATGGTGCTACAGGCATTTAGGGTTTCAGGGACCAGTGAAACAGAGAGGATTCACTTAGAGGCAACACTGCTGTTAAAGTAAACCAGTTAGTACTGTATTTGTGTAGCTAAACCACTAACAAATCTTATATGCCTGGTTCTATCTGGAAACCATTTGTAAGTCACTTTTAGAACTCATCTTTTCTATAAAGGCCTTAATAGGCCTCCCAATTGTTCACAGGCATTTTGTTTATTAATTCTTGTCTCCCAATCACTACTGGTAGAACTACCTCATATTGGATTATAGACTACCCTTGATGTCATTTTGATGCCATACACCATATCCACTCAGGGGATGTGGTGATCACAAATAGTACCCTCCTTTGACGAGTGGGAGCCAATCCAGGCTAGGTGCATAACTAAAAGTATGGAAGCAGAAGTAAAAGGGAGAAGGAATAGGCGGGAAGAGGCAGGAGTTGAATTGACCTCAGAACAGTTCTGTGGGTTGTCAGTCACACGTTCCTCCTGCCCACGGGATTCAATAACATTAAGGGGCTGTGAGCAGATCGTTCACGTCATATTTGAAACTAAGTGTTCAAATTTGAAAAGAGTAACTTTGTGATTTGCCTTTGGAGTGGAAGGTGTTTGGTGATGGTTGCCCCCAGATAGGCTTTACCGTTTGATGGGTGGGTATGTTAGCCCAGGTTGACTAGAGCAAAAAATCCAGTGATACGCATATGCAGAAGAAAGAAGCAATTACATCTACATTTATATCAAGAAGTACTTACATATCATAAAATATTCCAGCCCAGTCCAACTCAAGTCCTAAATTTGATACTAATCCATAAATCCCTGTGTTAGTCTGGGCAGACTAGAGAAACAAATCCATGGACACACATGTGTATAAGAAAGAGATTTATATACAAGAGCAACTGAACATTGAGAAAACATGCCAGCCCAATCCAGATTAAGTCCATAAGTCCGATGTTAACCCATATTTCTGATATCAATCTATAAGGTCCTCTTCAGACTCACGAAACACATGCAATGAAGCCAAATGCAGAAGATCACAGGCCAGTGGGTAGAAAGTGTTTGGATCCAGTGTCATTGGAAACATCTCAGCGCTGGCAGGGGTCTCTCTGTGGCTTCTCCAGCTTCCAAGGTCTGGTTGCATCCATGTGGCTTGTCTTCGACAATGTCTCCCAGGAAGCGGCAGAGAGAGATGTCTTCCATCTCCAAGGAGAAAGTACCAGATTTCCCAGAATTCTCAGAAGAAGGCCATGCCCACAGAAGTCTCATTGGCTATCTCCAGATTGACAGCCTAGACTCCACCCCTACACTCTTAGTCCTTAAATTGACACCAGATTAGGTGACTAGCACAGTCCCTCTTCAGACTAACACAGCCACGTGCAATGATGCAATGATGCAAAATGAAGGAAGATCACAGGCCTGTACAGGCAAAGTTGTGTGAATTCAAGGTTGGTGGAAACATGGCAAAGGCCACACCCACAAGGAGGCAACATCCTGCTGTGACCTGGTTGACAGGTTGAATACCATCCCTATACTTTGATATATATCTTCAAGTTGACATGAAATTATGAACAAATCACATCATTCCCCTAGTTCCTGAATACTTCTTCCATTCCCCCACCCCCCACTACCATGACCCAGTTCTAAATTAAAAATCTGGCTAGACTGGAGAACACACATTGGTACAGATAAGAGCTCTCAGCACATTGAATTCAGGTAAGATAAACCCCTGAGGCACAGAAATGGGAGTAGTGATACCATGAGGTAGGTTGGGTGAGAAAGGGAGAACCCATCACAGGATTGGATATATAGCCGCCACCACCCCAAAGGCATGAAGAACAGACATGTGGGTGAAGGGAGACAATGGACAGTGTAAGAGACGAAATAACAATAACAATATATTATTGATCAAGGATTTGGGAGGGTGTGGGCGGGAGGGGGAAAAAAGAGGAGCGTATACCAAGGGCTTAAGTAGAAAATGTTTGGAAACGATGATGGCAACATATGTACAAATCTGCTTGATACAATGATGTATGGAATGTTATAAGAGCTGTAAGAGCCCCCCAATAAAATGCTTTTTTAAAAATAGAAATGCATGTAACTACCACAATGGGCAACTGCATGTGGGATTTGTATTACTGCAAAGACGAGTTTCCAGGGAAACTTCTGACTTTTAGATCTGCGGGAGATTTCTGTTCACTTTGCTGCATCACTGAGTCTGGTTGTGGAGAGGAGACTGAGTTGGCAAAGAAATTCTCCAGTTCTGAATTTGTCGTCTTATTACCACGAGCCGTATTCTTGAAGGCAGCCAGCTGCATTTGGCTGTCTGTGTATTCTTATTTGTCTGGAAGGCAGTGTGCCTGAGTGCCATCTGAGAAAAGCCCATCCTGTTCGTATGGTCAAAGTTCAGTGCTTCCCAGGTCTGGTTTACTGGCTAGCGCTGCAAAGCATTTGCATTTGCTTTTCTAGGGATAAAGCATCTCTCACTGCTATATCAAATCTGATATTATAAAGCCTTTGCAAAGTTACCGTCATGTCTTTTTTTTTGTCCGTAATGTCTTATAGCTCACAGTTTTCTTTAAACATTTGGTAGTTTTGTTAGAATACTATTGTGTCTATCTATGAAGGAAATGCAAGACCAGTGAAGTGAAACGTTTTTAACATATGTAACCTTTCCATTTTGCCTAGGGGAAGTGGAGGCTTCTGGTCCAAATGACCCACTGGGACAGCTCGATGGACACAACAGCCCTCTTCCAACCATGAAAGGTAAACTGTCAAATACAAGATCTCCTTTAATGGTATTATTTTAGACTTCTTTCCAGAACGTTGTATGGAGACATTAGCAGTGGATTTACCAGTTGTACTTCAGGAAGCTCATTGGTGCAGTGGTTAAGTGGTTGTTTGCTAATAGGAAAAAGTTGGCAGTTAGAACTTAACCCCTTGGCTTCATAAGGAAAACAAAGACCCAGTGGTCAACTCCCTTAAAATATTCTGCCCTGGAGACCCTGTGGGGCGGCGGTTCATTCTGTCCTATCAGATTGCTGTGAAGTGCCATGATCCTCCTGCAGGACTTAGTCTACATGCTGAGCGGATAATCAGAGACGCTGGAGTATGTAAGGAGGAATGCTGCATCGTGCCTGCCGAACAGCTCTTTAGCCGTGTGATGTGCTGATGACCCAGCTTGGCTTGCTGAAAGGAGGACTTGAGGCACTTACTCATGAAAATAAAAAGCAATAGCTTTCACTGTGGTTTACAGCTCAAAGTAAAGAAAACCAAAATCCCCACTATGGAACAAATAAACAGTGCCGTGATAGGTAGAGATAAGATTAAAGTTGTCCATGAAGCAGGAAGCTAATGGAGAGGTCTGAGGGGCCGGCCTCAATCCCAACTAGGTGGACAGCCCCCCCACCCCCCTGAAGAATTCACTTCAGAGGACAGCCCTGGAGCTGCAGCTCAGGGACAGGGACATGAGCACGCAGGAGCAAATGAAGGGAGAGAGAGAGAGGAACGTCCTGGCCCACCAAGCCCTGAGGACGATATTCCCTCAGAGAGGACCATAGAGCCGGCCCCACCACAAGACATGACGTCCCTCGCTGACCCACAGCACTACGGGGGGACAACACTGGAGACACAGTGTGGGAATTGTGACCGATCTGACCCCACCACATTGAGGCGAAACAGTAAGGGGTTTCTGACCCCACCACATTGAGGTGAAACAACAGCAAGGGGAACAGAATAACGACGTCCCCAGGGATACCAAAAATAGACTTTGGGGCCAGAGCGTGGCACCCCATCAGACTCGACCAGGAAACACTCCTGAAGGTCAACAAACAGACCTTGAACTATTTACAGGCTTTTCTTTCTTTTTTTAAAAAATTTTTTTTAGACTTTTCTCTTTTTTTGTCGTTGGTTTTGTTGCTGTTATTGTTTTGTTTTCTCTTGTTGCTTTGTTTTGCTCTGTCTTTTTTTGTGTGCATATTATTATCTCTGCAGGTCTATCTAGAAAAGATAGGTGGAATAAACAAGCTGGAGGAGAAAACAACGAGACTCACGGTTCCCGGGGAACATAGGAGACAGGGAGGGAAGTAGGGGGAGGGGGAAGGAAGTGGGTGTTAGCAAACCCAAGGACAAGGGAACAACAAGTGACCCAAAATCAATGGTGAGGAAGGTTTAGGAGGCCTGGTAGAGCTTGATCAAGGGCAATGTAACCAAGAGGAATTACTGAAACCCAAATGACATGATAGTGGGACAAGAGAAAGTAAAAGGAAAGAGAGGAAAAAACTAGGAGGCAAAGGGCATTTATAGAGGTCTAAATACAGGCGTGTGCATATGTAAATATATTTAAATATGGCGATGGGGAAATAGATCTACGTGCATATATTTATAGGTTTAGTCTTAAGGTAGCAGATGAACATTGGGCATCCTCTCAAATACTCCCTCAATGCAAGAACAGTTTGTTCTATTAACCTGGTATTCCATGATGCTCACCTTCCCGACACGATTGCTGTAAGCGGGTGCATAAGCAAATGTGGTAAAGAAAGCTGATAGTGCCTGGCTATCAAAAGCATCTGGAGTCTTATAGGCTTGAAGGTAAACAAGCAGTCATCTAGCTGAGAAACAACAAAGCCCACATGGAAGAAGCACACCAGCCTATGTGATCATGAGGTGTCAATAAGATCAGATATCAGACATCAAAGACCAAAAAAATCATATCATTGTGATTTGATTTTTGAGGGGAGTGTGGAGTGGAGGAGACCCAAAGCCCATCTGTAGGTAACTGGACATCCCCTTACGGAACGGTCATGGGGAGGAGACAAGCCAGTCAGTGCAGTATAACACCGATGAAACATACAACTTTCTCTAGTTCTTTAATGCTTCCTCCCTGCC